TCAAAATTGTAACCATCGAAAGGTCTTTGTCCAGTTAATAATTCTATCATAATAATTCCAAAACTGTAAATATCAGCAGCTTGAGTGAACTGTTCACCTTTCAAGACCTCAGGTGCTAAATATGGCAAAACACCATAAATATTATTATCCTGTTTTTCATCAACCGATATTGATGAACCTAACTCAATATAAGCTTCATATTGTTCTTTTAGTAAAATATTACCAGAATGTAAATCTCGATGTATAAATTTTTTAGAATGAATATGTGATAGATCGTTAATAATATCGTATAATATTTTTATTTTAATTTTCCACTCCAATTTAAATATATCTTTAAGGTTTTCACGTAATGATCCTAATTTTGCGTAATTTAACACTAAAACAAAATCTCCCGTATTTTTATCCATAGAAATGCCATGATAATTACCAAACACATGATACGCCTTTAACTAAAAAAAAAATATATATATATATAATTACAATTAATTCATGAACAATATAAATTTACGCGCGAAAAAAATACCTCATTTAAAAAAAGTTTCTGATTTTTATGTGAATCTTTAATGATCTTGGTTGCAACTTCATAAGTTTCGTAGGATGTCTTGTACACTACGGAAAATCCGCCTTTACCTATTTCTTCAAAATCTCTAAAATTATCGTATTCTATCCAACTGAAATAGTTATTACCATAAAAACATTTATGCTCAGTAACTGCTGATTTTAAATACCATTCAAAGGCTAAATCTTTATTATTTTCTACACCAACCCCTTTCAGATAACACCAACCAACACCATGCATTCCACAACAACACCCGTATTTGGCACTTTCAGAAAAATATTCAAAAGTCCTTTGTGCATCCTTTTCAACTCCGATTCCATTTTGGTAACAAGCTCCAGCATTAAACATCCCATAAGCGCTACCCATTTCTGCAGACTTTTGATAATAAATGAATGCTTTATTTTCATCCTTTTCAACTCCAATTCCGTAATCATAACAATATCCAATATTACATATCGCACTAGCATTACCCATATTTGCAGATTTCTGATAATAAATGAATGCTTTATCTCCATCCATTT